GTATGGTGAATAGATGGTTATAAGCAACGAGGCGGGCGCAGACTCCTGAGACACCGCCTCGTAAAAACCGGAAACTGAAATGTTTGTTCAGTTTTTTCCAGGTTATGGTCTTTATACCTTTTTTAAAAAGGGCATTTTTAAAAACGAAATCCAGCTAAGTGGCTAAACGAAACAGCGTTTCAAAACATCCTGTTTCAAAATTAACGCCACGTTTTGACTTTTTATTTTCATTTCTCTTTCGGCTGAAACTAGTCACCACATTCAACCCGAATTTACAAACAGTTTCGTTGACCCCTGGCTGCATTTGTCGGTGAAAATGATCTGTCTGAGAAATTTTGCCCAGCTCTAGTTATAAATTCATTCTACTAAATAAAGGTGTTTGCTTTCAAAGGTGGTTGGGGGTGATTAAATGCTGCATTAATTTCCCAAGGATTGATGACCAGTGAGTCACATGGACCTGTAAACAGAGCTTTCCCCCTCCTCTCACCCTGTCTGGGCCCCATTCACCGCTCCCGTAGACGTCAGATTGGAAAAATCCCACTCGCAGCAGAAACCACACCAGTTTGCAATAACCATCCATCCATGTCTGCTGCCTCTTGTCCCATATCAGATTAGACACTGAGGTTAAAGACACGTTCTATTTTTTCCCTCCTGATGCCATTCTAGGGCAGAGTTAAGAGGGTTTGGAGGCCTTAACTGTGTATGTCCATCTTTGGATTTCTTTTCCATTTATAATTGTAGCGGAGTTCCCTGGGTTTGGGGCACTTGGTTTCTGGGATAATTCCAACATCCGCACAAGGTATTATATCCCAAGTTACTGATTCACACTCTCTCCATGTTAATGTTTTTTGTCTAGGAATTTCCTTGTTTTCTTTAAATTATTAAAAAATTCACACATGACCTTCAACTAAGAAACCCAGCAATGGCTCCTCCTTCCATAGTTACCACTGGCAGCGAAGCCAAGCTGCCCCCAGGACAGACAGGGGCCTCCTATGCTGTCAAGAGAGAGGGAGGAGCAGTGAATGGAGCCAGCAGCCATCTTTGTTGTGGGCATCCTTTGGCCTCAGTCCCACTAAGAGCAATGGGGGATGATGTTGAGGGTGTCAACAAGCATGTGGACATAGTGTACTTGGACTTTCAGAAAGCCTTTGCCATGGTCACTCACCAAAAGCTTTTAAGCAAGTAAGCAGTCAGAGGGAAGGTCCTCTCATGGATCAGTAACTGATTAAAAGACAGGAAACAAAGGGTAGGAATAAATGGTCAGTTCTCACAGTGGAGAGAGGTAAATAGCGGGGTCCCCTAGGGATCTGCAGATGATACAAAACTACTCAAGATAGCTAAGTCCCAGGCAGACTGCGAAGAGCCACAAAGGGACCTCACTAAACTGGGTGACTAGGCAACAAAATGGCAGATGAAATTCAATGTTGATAAGTGCAAAGTAATGCTCACTGGAAAACACAATCCCAACTATAATACACAGTTACAATACACAATTAGCTGTTACTACTCAAGAAAAAGACCTTGGAATCATCGTAGATCAGTCAAAAAAGCGAACAGTGTTAGGAACCATTTGGAAAGGGATAGATAAGACAGAAA